GTAAACACTGTTCGCAGAATTTTTTCGCAGAACTGATCTTTGATTGAGTATCACATTCAAGAAGACAAGACTCATCCATGTCTTGGCTCTGCACCACATTTACAGATTGGTTGAAACATACAAACAAAGCCAATGAGGAAAATACTATCATTTGCTTCAAATGCATTGTAACATCAAATGAATAAATGAATGAAGGTTTCGATGTTATCTGTTTGGATGCCTTTTCTATGTTATAATTGATATTAATTTCAACTCACAATTTGTGTTCACATTTGAAATGATTAAAAAAGTTTTGTTTTTATTGAATGCAATCTTTCCATAATTAACTCAAACTTTGTTTTCAATTATATTATATTAATTGAATGTTTAATAAGAAACTATTATTATCATTGCATAAAAAAGACAATTACACTTTATTTACATTACATTATACATTACATGTGTTATATTAATGGTATCCATAATAGTTGCAAACGAGGTTTCAATGTTTTATATTAGTTTTAAAATAACATATCTAGTAAAACACAATTAATTAAAATACATACTATTAGGATTGCCAACTATAATTGATCGCCTCCTTGAAAAATCCAAAAAAATCTGAATTCACCTAGACCACCAGTATTATTACATATTATACTTTTTATGACTTTTTGCTGTATTATTACATTATTCAACGCGTTATGAATTATTATTATTATTATTGGATTAAAAATATTTTGAATACAAAAAACAACTGTTGCGTTTTTATTACTTGTTGCGTCACACCCTTCTTCAATGTATGAGTACTTCAACCCACTAAAGTTAACTTATAGGAAAAATATTATTGTATGCATTAGTCAATGCCAAAATAGACAAAATTTCAAATTTTCCCCACCTTGACCTCACCTTTAACCTTGACTAAAACCCTCTAACTTTGCAAATCATGGTAAACTTTGACCAGTTGACAACCCTACTGCTATAGGAATATTCCTAGTAGGAATTTTCAACCCTATTCAATAGTGTAATTGAGTGACGTACTGTATGTCATGCCCACGACAGCGCCATCCACATTGCGCAATTATTACATAACATTCAGTTGTATAACGTTTATTATGGAGTGGGAAGAACTACACACACTGTATACTGTGAAATATTGGGTTAAAAATAACATAATGGTAATTTTAATTATATTGTTTGTCATAAATGTGTGAGAATTAAATTGTTTTGAACAAATGTTTGGTATCTGAAAATTAATGTAAACAATTAATCGTCTATTAATTAGACATTTGAACTTTTCTTATGTAATTATGTGAAGAGTGGGATCGATATGAGATCACATGAGTTGATAACATATTTAGCAATTTTATATCATATAAACGGTTCAAAACCCGCGGGTTTATTGTAAATCAACCAATTGTTGGTTTCATAGCTTTATATTATAGCTTATTGTTTATTCTATACAAATGCAGTATTTTAATATATTACTTTAAATAGATTATATAAATGTGATATAAATTGAATAAATATGAGTATTTCTCGCGTTTAGTACTTCAACTCGTTTAGAATGACCGTTGAGAGGAAATTAGCGGTTCATGTGTTGGATTTGATTTTATTTATTCTGATTCAAATTGATTAGTTTTATTTTGTTTTAAATCGATATGACTTATACTGTATATTACGTTACAAGGAAAACGGTGTACTATTAACTTTTAAGTAATAAATAAGGTTTATGAAAAGCCAGAATAAGACAAATATTTTTATTTTTGCATTTAAAATGAATGTAAAATTTGGTAAAATAATAGTTATAATGGAAGAAAAAGTGATTTCCTAAAGTTGTATAAACTTATTTGTAAATTAACAAAATATGACAAACATTCAGAGCCGCGACTCCGGCTTCATTTGAACCACTAATTGGAGGCTCGAATTGCGTGGCCTATAGTTGATTACAAAATAGCGGCATTTAATTCCTTCTAAGTTTATTGTATCTATAATTGCCATAATTGTTATCGAAGTATCTTGGGCAAATAGATATTTCTGACAAAACAGTCAGTGAATTCAACTACAGTGTATAACTCTAGTACACTAAAGATGGAGTGAGTACTACTACTTATAACATTTTGGTTGAATTGGTGTTATATTTTTAAAAATAATTCAAGTAATTCTGATAGTGTCCGTAGAGTTAATGTAAAGTCCACTTAAGATATTGGGTAATGAGTCATTACTAATGACATTGTACATACATTGTATATCTAATTATGTAAAGTTATGTAATTATATAATATAAAGTATACTTCTTATATTTAGCAATTATATAAAAATATGAAATATGCAGTAATAATAATATATATAAATAGAAATGACATTTTAAAGAAATAATTTAGAATTAATGAGGAAACACAAGAGGACTATATTTTTTGAATATATTGCAGTTATCTCTTACAAGAATTCCATAACACTGTAGAAAGAAAATTATATTTTATTATCTTTCTTTTTATACAGTTTTTATTACTTTCAGCTATAGTTTTGGTAAATAAAAACAAAAGTAAACTTTCTATTAATCAGATTAGCCGTTAAGGTGGAGGAAGACTAGCTTAAGACTAGTCCAAGACATTCGTATTATACTAACCCTTAGTTCTCATTATTTTTTGTTTTCAACACTTTTTGATGGTTTATATAAAAGTCGAATATTACTTGAAAAAGTGGTTCATTTATTACTTTGATTATTCGTTTGCTCGTAATTATAATATTATAAAAATGTTGAAAGTAAGTGATATTATGATAATACCTATACGTATAATACGTAAAAATAACGTTAATTCATTAATAATAATAGGTTGCGATTGTGGTGTCTATGGCTGCTGTGATCAGCGCATCATATGGTGGAGACAATGGGCACTCACGAGATGACTACTCGCATCCCATTCCCTATGCTTACGGGTATGACGTGAAGACAGAACACGGGGCACAACTGTCCCGTAAAGAGGAGGGCGATG